GCTGTTAATGACATTGATATTGATAAATTTAATTTCTAGGTCAATTTAAGGAGGTGTGGTTTAATACTACAGATGTGTGAACGTGTGTGTGGAACACTGATATGTGTATTTGTTATGTGTCAGAGTGCAAGTATATTCATGTGCATTGTACCCCCTTTTCCCTCCTCTGGGCATACTAATGAAGAGACGGCCATTCCAGACGTGCAGAGCGTGCCCTACAACAGCTCCCATAGATTCAGAAGAGAATTCCAATATTAATGATTTATGCTGTATTTGCATACAAACCTAATGCAAACCCACTCCAGATAATCACATTTTGTCTGGTCTGAATTGAGTTTTATGGACGCCTTTGCTACTCCCACCTTCTCCATGCACCAAATAACAGTGGCATGTGTGGCTGCTGCTCTTCATGCTGCTGGGTGAACCCCAACACAAGGGGTTTACAAGTGGACATGCAAAGAGGGCTGTAATAGTGCATTTTACCATGAACCAACTGAATGGTTCATCCAAGTTTTGGCATATAACTGTTGCAACAGTTAACAACAGTGGGAGCAGTAAATTTACCCAAATACTGAACCTATATAATTTCCTTGTTATTCCTTTTTTTTACTTCTACTTCTGTGTCTTACCCCACTACGTATAGTTGGTCACAGGTAGGCTATCAGTTTTTTGCTGAATAATAATAATAATCATCATCTATGATTCACTGATCAAATGTGAGTGCTTATTAGAGAAAAAACTAATATTAAATACTTAAAAATAGCTCCCACCTGGCCAATTTTTACTTAGTGGTATTGATACTTCACTTCAAATAAAATAGAACTAGCTAAATAGCAGATCTTGCATCAATAGTATTTTCAAAAACAATAACTGCTGTACTGTTAGCAGCTGTTGCAGTTTTATCAGTTACATGTAGTATAAGTAGTAATACTAAGGGTTGTTACAGCAGTTACAGTAATGGCATAAGAATAATAATTTTTTTAATGATAGTAATTACAGCAATAATATGTGTGGTTGCAGTTGAGTCACTGTAATACTGTCATATCAATAATCATATCAATAGTACTTATTTCTGTGGGTTCACTTGGGGGAGAAGGCATGCAGTCCATCATAGGTTAACACCGGCAGACAGACACACTCACTTTCATACCTACTGGAAACCAAAAGCCTTCAGCTTAGTTACGTGGATGTCTTCAGACTATGTTAAGAAACCTGAGCTTCCATAGGAGGCCTGTGATAAGAATGACCCCTCATGCCACTCAAGAACCATTCTGGTTCTCGCCCTTGACTACACAGATGTCAACACATTAAGCTTTTGAAATCTGTACCTGTAAGAGCTTTTGTTGAATATTGAATTATCTTATTTCTGTACCATTACACAAAGACAGCTGGTGACTGAGATGGGAGTGTCACATAAGTCAATGCCACAGTAAGTACAACTGTTTCCTCATATTCAAGCATGCCATGACATGTACTGATTTTACTTGTGGTTCCTCTAAACCTTTCTATTATTCTATGCAGTCTTCTGTTCCACCCTAAGGATCTGACTAGTGAGTATCTATTGCCAGGAAATGAGATACTTAATTACTCGTTGGGTTTTCTAATTACAGTGAATGGCCGACTCAGACTAGGACAAACTAACAACATGTAAGAAAGGCATCTGTTCCACAGAAAAAGCCTTATGTACAGTTGAAAGGTCAAACATTCCTTGTTGCACAAGGAATGACCCACATTACATAGCTTGTTTCACAAGTTTTTCAAATAGACAAGTAGAGTATTCCCACATAAAGGCATTTCTCTGATAACACATACTGATTTGATTGATTGATTGATTGATTGATTGATTGATTGATTGATTGATTGATTGATTGATTGATTGATTGATTTTATTCTTTCAAGCATGTAAAGATAGTCAATATGTCAACACATAATTTCACACATATCCACAAATGCTAATCCAATATCAATTTGCTTATACCTAGTACATGCTTGAATGGAGTAGGAAGAAGTTAGACTTATCCAGTTCTACCCCCTGACATCATCTTACCATCACTGGTTTGCAAGCAGTATCTCTACATAAATAATTCTCTTCTACACCACACAAGTAATATACTAAAAAATTATAACAGTGTTAACATTCTTACATAATTACATTCTTAAATAATTATCTTTTACACCACACAAGTAATATACTAAAGAATTATTACAAGGTGTT